GGAGGATCTCCCTGGGAATGGCCCCAACATTCACAGCCTCACAAAATCCAAGATCCTTCCCCAGAGTGCTGCCTGAATGGTGAGCATTTCATAGAGTTTGCAGCTCTGGGGAAAATTACAGAATGTGCAGTTTTGTTGTGAAGGACTTTGTTAACAGTGCTAGAGCACAGCCAAAATAATTATCTTCCTTTTAGGATACTACAGAAATTTCAAATTTTCCATACAGGAAGGCTGAAAATTGTGTCTGTGACATTTACACAGGTCTGTAATGTGCCATGGTCTCCAGAAATCTGCAGGAATGAAAACAAATATTAATGAAACTTTATTTATGATTCTCATGCCACAACTTATAAGATAGGTAGATTTTTAAGGTGGCATAAATTATGCGTTCCTCTTCATCTTCCTCTGCAAGCATTAAATGTGCTCTGATTTTTGATAGCATTGCAGTGGTACTAAAATGATACTTTTAATGTTTTGTTGTGTTTGGGTTCTTTTTTTTTTTAAGCTAGTGAAAATTTAGGCTATTTAAATTTGTATGTAACACTAGTTTAATTTTGAAGAAAACAAATATTTCTTAAATGTGAACGGGATGTTCTTCCCACAGACAAAACAGCAGTTTGTAATTCTTACTGGTTTTGTGTTGCCTAACTAGTCATCTTTTTGCTCTGACAAAATACTCTCATTTTATGTGTGTTGTAAACTTAAGATGAGGAGTGTAGGAGTCTAGTTCCTGAATTTCACTGCCCCCTTTTATACTGCATAAAGGAAATTTTATATATTTGTTTGGTTGATTTTTAACAAAAAAATTAAACCAAAACCTAGTATTTTTCCAATTCTGCAGTGCTTGTCTGTTCAGGTTTTTATTTGTCATTTTAAGTCCAAGTTGACAGAATTCATGAGCTACACAACATTAGACTATGAATTCTGAATTGTTAATTTTTATTGTTGAGTAATTTTTATTTTCCTAGCAAGTGGGACTATAAGGATTTTTTTCAGGAATTTTTGGCAAAAAAACAAAAGGGAATTTTTTGGGAAAAAATTGGGAATTGTTGGGATGAAAGTTGGGATATTTGGCCAAAAAAAAAATTGGGATTTTTTGGGGAATTTTTGGAAAATTCTCACCTGTAATAAGAGGTTGCTTCCTTAACATAGGAATGCTGTTGAGCATTTGTGTCATTCTCTCATAAACAAATTTAACCAGGACAAGTCATCTTATGTTTTTGTAGACTGGGAGAGGTAAACATGCCAGGCCACAATTAACATGAATATAAGTCAATATAAATGAATATAAATAAATTACAATTCTTCCATCTCCTCTATTCCTTTCATTAAAAATGTGCTGAAACTTGTGGCTAAAATGACAGAAAATGAATGTACAATGCCTTCACAAGTCATGTTTCTACATTGAAACAATGGTACTTTTCTTCATGGAAAAAGTACAGGAGTTCCCTTTTCTGACAGGTAAATATATTCTTCTTTATATTGATATATCCTTCTTTATTGGAGTTCTGCATCTCTTCATTCTTGGCTAAAAACATTTTTTTTTTTTGTATGTTAGAAACAATATTGGAGAGACCCCCTCTCTCTTATCCCACACAGACATTTTTTGTCTCTGTTGATGTCACTTTCAGGAAGGTTGCAATTACTTTCTTATACCAAATTCTGATGGCAAAATGCAATAAATGTAGGTGGAATAATGGCAGCTGAACAGGGAACAGCATAAAGAGAGACAACATTTTAAGATGCTCTCCTGCTGTAATGAAATAAATCAGTCATTCTGTATTTAGTGAAGAAATTTCTAAGAATTACATCTCCCCTTTTCTATGGCAAGGAAGGAAAATGCTCTGAAATTTTCAGTCTATTTTATTTTTTTCTGGCTTTGAATGAAGAAGAGTTTGTGATTGTAAGCTGCTGCGTCTCACACCATTATGTTGTGGTGTTGTGGGTTCATTTCTTTTCTTTTTAATTTTTTTTAATAGTATACATACATTATGTTCTTCTATTTCTTATTATGAATAATCTTTTCTGAATGGAGCTTCATCATAATTCAAGTGCCACTAAACTAAAGGTTAGATTCCCTGTATGTAACTTTGTTGGAGAAGCTTTTATAAATGACTTTATTGTTCCACAGGCCTTGGAGAGTGCTGCTGTGGATGGCAATGAGTGTGACTCATCTGGCTATAGAGCTGGAAGTGTAATATTAAAGAAAATAAATAACAAGGCTGCAAAGAGCAGTAAATGAGGAAATGAGGCATGGATGTGTGAGACAGAGGTTGGTCTGCTGCATGTAAGTAGGTACCACCTAATTACTTGGGAAAAGGAACTTAGTGAGGGCAGAGCAAGACCATGGATGCTCTGGAAGCACGGCAGGATATGCTTGGCCTCTCAAAACAGTGTTTATGGAGGGGTAGCTTGAAAATTCCAGTCTTGAAAGGAAATACGTTAGAATTGTCGAAAAAGAGATTTGTGCTATCTTTTTTTTGCTTGATTTTACTGCTTTATCATGTACCTGCTGTTATAAGGAGGGTTTTGCATTGTGCAGGAACAGCTCATTCTATTCAGTGTCAAAAAATATGAGGTTTTACTTCTTAAAAAGAAAATGCCCAGAACATTCCCTCAGTCTAAGACTTTACTCTGGGAACCTTTAACAAACTACAGCTGGGAACTTTAATGTGAATTTTGTTGCACAAAAAACTGATCTGAGAGGCAGCAATGCCCCTGTCACTCACTTCAGCAGGAAAGGCATCACCATTCTCATGGTAACCCCAAAACTGGGCAGGACTTTTGGGCAGCCCTTGCTCTTAGCATGCTCTTGTTTTTTCTTTTCTCCCCCTGGAAATTTTATTCTTCTGTAGAAGAGGAAAATAACTCTTCCTGCTCTACAAAGGGACATTCCATGCACAAACTTGCCTTTTTTTTTGTTTTTATCTTGCTTGCTTCTTTTGTTTTTAGTTGACCATTGACTGCGGACAAAAATACTTTTCCTACTTCACTCAAATGTATTTATGTCCTTAGGTAAAAGACCACTAACATCACCAACCTATGTAATGCAGAAAATGCTTGGAAAGTCTGAATGTATTAAACTCTACCTCCAATAAATTTGTTTTGGTAAAAAAAAAAAAAAATAAAAAAAAAAAATTAGGGCATTCTGTCCATGTGTGGTTGTACCAATATTGATAAAAGCACAGGCATGGCCAAACCTCTAAGAGATGTTATTTAGAGAAGATTGAAATCAGTGGTAATCAGATCTTTCCAAATTCAGTGCTCACATATCCAAAGAAATAAGGTCATAGAATGAAACTGCTGAATAATTTCCATGTGAAACCTTGTGAACAAGTTCTGTCCACAAAAGACACAGACTGATAGGGGTGTGCTCATTAACATTTTGCTGTTTGAGTACAGTTCTTACTCCTAGAACCAGATGAAATCTTTTGCAGTTCATTTTTTGAGATTGTGAAATTGTAATCAGCAAAGCCTGCTGGGAAAACCAAGAATAAAATCTATACTATCATTTCATTGATTTAACATATTAATGTATTATTTATTTATTAACACATTGGATTGACTTATTTCTTATCAAAATGAATTAGAGGGAGAGATTTATTCTGCAAATCGTGTTTTGGATTTTGAAATAAGCAAGATTAATATGTCTAGGTCTTATCTAAATATTATATCCCTGATATCTATTTTTACAAGTTTTTTTTTAATGAGATGAGCTGTGGCAAATAATTCATTTTCCAAAGCTGCTGCGTGAAAGCTACTGGAATATAACTAAATCTGGGGCCTTGACAGATAAAAAAATGAAGGTCTATAAAGTATATATATATATATATATATATATGTGTGTGTGTGTATATATATATATAAACTATAGTATTTGTTAGTGGTTGTAGAAATGATGAATTATTTTCCTTACAATGATGCATAATTACATACATATTTATACATATATATGTCTAAATATAATATATATAATACATATATGTATTATATACATATATGTATATATACATATATATAGAAATATATATGTGTATATGTTATATATATAATATATAGTATATATATAATATATACTATATATTATTTATATAATATATACATATAATAATGTATGTAATAATACATGTAACACATATATGTATAAAAATATATATTAAATGTTAAATCTATATGTGTGTATATATACATATATGTGTGTATATATGCAGATAAATTTATGTGTGTAAATATAATTAAAGCAACAAGAAGTGTTTGATGCTATCATTTTTAAAGGAAGTGGACCATTTCTAAAGAACTAAATAAATCAGTTTCAACAAGTTTTGTCAAGAACTGTAAGTTAGAAAGTAAATTTAGAGACACCAAGGGAAGATACATTTTATATTGAAGTACTGATAGTGGTTTGTGAAACCATTTTGTTTGTAAAGAAGTGACATGTTTCTAGTAAAGATTTGGATATTCCCAGTGGCGGGGGAAAAAAACCTAAGAAATTAGATGATCTGGGGCTTGGGTAGAACAGGATTATTGTGGCTGTCACTTCAGGTAAGTTCAGTGCTCAAGATCAGGTAGCATTTGGAGGGAGAATATCCAGGAGTTTTTACAGCCACAGATGCAGAGGATGATCCAAGTCTTGTGCTTCCTGCTGCAGTTTGTGATGGCTGATGGCAGTTCTCCCAGCTCAGGAAAAATCACTGGATATACTGGAATAATTGCTATATTGGAATAACTGTATATATTGGAATACTGGATGTTCATGTGAAAGGATGGTTTAAGCCTAGGAGGAGGGTTTTATTGAGGGCTCTCCCCTATTCTGGTGCTTCTCTCCCTCTCCCACCAGCATTTTCCATCATCTTGGACTTCCATGGGGGAATTTCTTCTGTGGTGGGAAGGAAGGACCGCTGTGGTGCAGTGTATGTACTGTAAATCCATTTAATATATGGTGTAAATGTGCACATTTCTTCTAGTCTTCTTTTTGAAGAACGTTCTACTTCTGTTTGAAAAATATTCTTCTTCTTCAAAAATATTCTTCCTCTATTCTTCTTGTTGAAGAATAGTCTTCTCCTACTCTTCTTTTTGAAGAATATTCTTATTCTGTCCTTCTTTTTGAAAAATATTCTTTCTCTACTCTTCTTGTTGAATATTCTTATTCTGTTCTTTTTGAAGAATATTCTTCTTTTGTTCTTTTTGAAGAATATTCTTCTTCTCTTCTTCTTTTTGAAGAATATTCTTCTTCTTTTGTTCTTTTTGAAGAATATTCTGCTTCTTTTCTTTTTGAAGAATATTCTTCTCTTCTTGTTGAAGAATATTCTTTTTCTACTCTTCTTGTTGAAGAATATTTCTTCCTCTGTTCTTCTTTTTGAGAAATAGTCTTCTGTTCTTTTTAACGAATATTCTTCCTCTCTTCTTCTTTTTGAAGAATTTTCTTCTTCTACTCTTCTTTTTGAAAAATATTCTTCTTTTACTCTTCTTTTTGAAAAATATTCTTCTTCTCCTGCTGAGGTACTGAAATCCAGCTGCAGAGGCCTGTAGGTAATCTACTGCTCATCTCCAGCAAGAGACTGACAGTCAAATCCAGATTTAGGAGTCCTGGTTTTACCAGCTACAAAAGTTACAGAAAGAACTCCCAGGAGTATTATAAGAAAGTAAAAATTCTCAAAAATAGATAAAAAATACTAGGTAGGATCTGACTTGTGTTTATGCTTAAGGAAATGAAGAATTGATAGAATTGATTAAAAAAACTGAAAGACACTAAGAAATTTCACTGAGTTGCTTAAAAGCTGCTCATAAAGCACCAGTACTTCTAAGTCCCCATCACACACAATGGATAAAACCAGATATGAAATATTTTCCATGTTTTTTGTGTTCTTCACCTGCTATTTTTCATTTTACTCTTTCCTCCCTGAGCTGCACAACAGCAAGCCAAGACCTTCTGAGCACCCTTGACTCGATCTCTCTTCTCAGAAAAGTGTGATTCAGCAGCAGAAAATGTTACAGGTAAGTGTTTTTATTTTATTTCCCTTTCTTAGAAATGTCAGCTGCAGCCAACTCGAATGCATTGTCCTTATTCTAGAAAAGACACAACCAATTCTTATGGATTTGACCTGAATGCTTTCATTTATAGACGGATACCTGTCTAGTATTATTTTATTTGTAGCAGTGTTTGTTCTTGAATTCTTCTCAGAAAAAAATCGCCAAATGCAGCAAATGTTCTTTCTTGTGTTCAGTAAGAAAAAAAATCTCTGTCCTATTAGTGATAAACAAAACTGAGATTTGTGTGCACAAACCAAAACTGATTCAAATATTGTCACTTGAGTGTTGCAGTTTGTCTCTTCCAACAAAAGATGGCACTGCTCAATTTTCTTCAAAACTAATCTCCATTCATTGAAATTAAATGCTCCTAAAAAAGTTCCCTTGTCTTTGTCTAGAATCTGCACACTTAGATCAGTATTTGTTATTACCAACCAAGTAATAATGTGGCTTCAGATATTTCTAAAAATATCTATGTTTCCACAAGAAGTCCCAAGTGGAAAAAACCCTAAGTGCCAATAATTCACAAATTACTCTTGCCACTTGTTGAGGTTCAATTTGGAGTCAATAATTATTTTATGGATGCAGTTTTTCCACAAATAGGAAATGAAAGGAAAATAGTTTCCAAGATTGTCTCAGATCTATTTTTTTTTTTTCTCAGATCTATTTTTTTTTTTTTCTAGGCAACACACATTAACCATTTCGATATTAATTTAAATGCCTTTTGGTAAAGGGATTTCTTTTCCTCACAAGTTTCTGTTTGCATTATGGCTGTACACAAAAGCAGAGATTTTACTTCAAATTTGAACTTCTCCAATGCCTTGTGTAACATTAGACAGCTCTATACTTCCGAGCTTTGCTAGATTTAGGTATAGCAAGAATCCAATGATTATCATAAATTAAAAATTAGGGAGGCAATAAGAAGAATATGGAATTTATTATTATGTTATTTATTATTTATAAGAACACATGGAATTTTTTAGTGTAAAAGACAGGATAGTCCCCACAGACAAATTTGCAACAGGTCTGTCATATCTGTTAACACGACTAAAATGTAAAAAACAAAAGCCAAACCCAAAACACTACTGTAATAATAATATACAAATGTCAAAAAGTAATTTACTTAATTCGGGGAATAAAACTTGAAATATCTCAGCATAAGGTAAAAATCATGGATGTTTTTTCCCTTGTGTTATTTTAATGCAATCTGAAGTGTCAAATATACAAAGATAAATTTCCCACAGTACTCAGAGTGCTCTGTGTTAAATGGCACCAAAGAGGTTCTGAAGGTTTTGGATAAAGGGTAAAATTTACTTCCTGACTTTGTTTTGGTTTTAGTCAGTTGTGGGGAAATTTCTGTGTTTCAGGAGTGGCATTTCACATAGTTTTTTCCATTTTCTTTTTGGGTTTATTTCCTAAAAATACTGTGATGCTGTGCTTTGAGTAACACTCTGCATGCTCTTTTTCAATCCTTTCCATGCTTCCCTCAAGGGGGAACAAAAAGCCAAGGATTCCCTCAAAAATGAGGATACTTTATTATTATTATTGTTATTGTTATTATTGTTATTATTATTATTATTATTGTTGTTGTTGTTATTACTACTACTACTATTACTATTATTACCTTTTAGAAATAAAATTACTAAGTGATAGATGCTATATTTCCTAAGAAGCTTCTTCAACATGACAAAATATTTTTGCTTTTTTTTTTTTTTTAGAAAGAAAGGGTCAGATGTTGTTCCAGCCACAACAAATTATTCAGAGCACAGAAAACCCCCCAAAAATAAATGCCCCCCAGTTCTGGTGGGCATCCCTTTGAATGGGATCAGCAACAATAGCTGGGAAACTTAAATT